TTTATTATTAAACTAGCGACTCGCCCTCACTCCGCTCGGATTCGTCCTACGTTTTAACGTTTAGTATAGATTGTATAGATTTCTCAGAGACAAAATATTTTCCCGCAGTAAAAAGTATCCTATATATTGACCCGGATAACCAGCTATAATAATACCAAGTTTCATCAAAATCGGTCAAGTGGTTTTTCCGTGATGTGGTCACAGAAAGACAAACAAAAATTCTAAAAACTATAGATTCGGCTTCTGTATCGATAATAATGTTTATTTCAATAACATTTTCCAAATAATATTTAATGTACAGATTCGGCTTAGTTACAATTTTATTATATGTATAAACTGATATACATTTTTACATACCTACATTAAAAACTTATTTCGTTTAAAATTACTTTGTTAAAAAACAACATGACTTAACATCCTCAAGTTAGAAAAGTTCACAAAGTTTTGGCTGAATAAACAAGAATCCAACGAAATCAAATGTTAAATATACTAAAAGATAATATTACGTTGCAATTTTACATTAAAAAAAAACGTTCCATAAATGTTCTTAATACGTGACAAAGCAAAATGACGTGTGAAAAAAAAACAGTTAAACAAAAGGCAATTAAATCGTAATAGAACACACATGCATATTGATAAATGTTCTGTATTATAAACAAGCAACTTTAAAAAGTAATCATTCAGTTTACGAGAAAGGGTACTTATTTACGATATAACTAAAACTATACTTGACTAAATATAATATAAATTTAAAAAATCTAAAATTATACTTGACTAAATATAATATAAATTAAAAAAATGAAAAATTCCCCGACCATATTGGACCGATTTTCAGCAAACATAGCTAAGAACACTCCCGACTAATTCACCTTTTAAACAAAAAAAACAAAATCAACATCGGTTCATCCGTTCGGGAGCTACGATGTCACAGACAGACACACACATACACAGACACGTCAAACTTATAACACCCTGTCGTTTTTGTGTCGGGGGTTAATAAAACAAAAGTATTATTACTCAATGACTATATTATATGAATAAAAAACCTCTTTATTTCCTGCCTTCATTCGTTCAAAGAAAATTTTAATTCATACAAAATATATATTTATTACTAGTGACTCATTCTCGCTTCGTTCGGGTTCGTCCCTAGATACGTTTTAACGGTTAGTATTGAATAGATAGACTATAGGTATGATGAGTTGTTGCGAGTTGTATTATCTATACCTATACATATAATAAAATTCAAAGTAAGCCGAATCTGTACATTTAATTATTTTTTGGAAAATCTTATTGAAATAGACAATATTATTATCGATACAGATGCCGAATCTATAGTTTTTAGAATTTCTGTCTGTCTGTCTGTATGTCTGTTACCGCATCACGGAAAAACCACTGAAGGGATTTTGATGAAATTTGGTATGATGATAGCTGGTTATCCGGGTCAACTATAGGATACTTTTTACAGCGGAAAAATATCTCATCTCTGAGAAATCTATACTAAACGTTAAAACGTAAGTAGGAACGAACCCGAGCGAAGCGAGGGTGAGTCGCTAGTAATTTATAAGGTGTTTTCCAGTGGGAATGACATAATCTCGCCAATCTGCCGCTCTGTTTCAACGTGAAAGAAGGACAAACAAACAAACAAATACACTTTTACATTTATATTATTTTGCAGGAACCTCTTTCACACCGTAATAATGTAGAGTAGAAGGATTAATTTTTGTCCGACTTTAAAAATGAGGAGTTATTCGAGTGTGTGTATGTAAATACATTTGTGTTTAAGACGATATTTTTGCCACTTATTAACAGTTTTTCTTGACTGTTTTTTAATGAATAGGATATCCAACAGAATCCGTATACACTTAAAAAAAAACATTTCACTTCAATGATCTACTTTAAAAGTCTCTCCCGTGACCATTATTGCTGTAAACCGGATGTCAAAATCAAAATAAATTCGTGAAAAAATCCGAAAAGATAGTTTTATTTAAAATGTCAAATATTGGCGGGAATCTAAGACAGTATTACTTTGTGATTTTGAAGTGGTTGTATCCTAAAAATTAATTTCATTTAGTGACTATTCACAAGCGTGCGTGTTATCAATAAAAAACGATGGTCGAAATTTATTTCGACTTTTGGGCGAATATCAGTGAACCAAAATGCAAGAAGCCATAGGATAAAATGAGTATGTCAACCAACAACAAACTTCCTTCCCCGTACAGACCCAACTCTAGTTAAGATAACGTATCAATCGATCAAACAAAACTCTACACGTAGCCATGACGAAAATTGAATGGGCCGTACAACGAATATGCGTTATTGCTTTTATTTATTACTTATTAATTTTACTGAAATTAAGTTAAATGGATTTTCATTCATTAATTAATTATCATATTTGAAGGACATACTTTTTATTATTATTGCGACAATTTTTATAATGTGTGTATGTTTGTATGTGTGTTTTTGTTGCTTCTTTACTCTGGAAACGGCTGGACGGATTTGGATGAAATTTATTACAAAGAGATAGATTACTTGAAAAATAATCTGCAGTATAAAGAGTGCAGTAGAGTAACATATAAGACACCTAACGACGCACCCGAGCGTAGCGAGTAAAGTCGTTGGTTTAAATATATTTTAAAGGTCAGATATATTAAAACATATTATGTGAATGACCTTTAAGTATTAATCTATACATAATATAATAAAATTCTAACTGAGTCGAATCTGTACATTTAATATTTTTTGGAAAATCTTATTCAAATAGTCTTTTTTATCGATACAGAGGCGGAATCTATAGTTTTTAGAATTTTTGTCTGTCTGTCCGATACAGAAAAGCCACTGGAGGGATTTTGATGAAATTTGGTATGATGATAGCTGGCTATCTGAGTCAACATATAGGATACTATTCACTGCGGGAAAACATTTCATCTCTTAGAAATCTATACTAAACGGTCAAACGTAAGTAGGGACGAGCGGAGCGAGGGTGAGTCGCTAGTTCTTCATGAAAATATAATACTAATATATGTATATCAATCGACCAAACAAAATTACACGTAACTATGACGTGAGTGGAAAGGGTTGCACGCGTTGTAGGTTTGAGGACACGTGCGTATGACATATCGATTATATTGAAAGTTGAAACTCTTTCTGCGAGCGAAAAAAATCTAAACTTGAAATATTTTTTAAATAAATTTAAAAAATACATCTTTGATTTACTGTAATGTATTGGACTGGTCTAAACGAATCAAGAGTCTAAATCCGTAGGTTTTGCTTGTAGCGATGAGGTCCAAAGTACCCACTCGCTAGCCCCATCCTAAGAACAACAAGATAAAAAAAAACAAAAATGGCACCATAATCTTACAATATTTTGTTATTTTTATAATTGAATATTAAATATTATTTATTTTTTGTTTAATTATAGTTACTATTAATAATGAATAAATTGGAAATTCAACCCCTAAGGGATAACAAAACTTGTATGGTAAACAATATTATCGTAAAATAAAAAAAAACCGAAGACGACCTAGTCCATTACTACGTGCTCTACATCTACGTAATACCTAATTGAAAAAGAGTTATGTCTTGATTGTAACAAAAACTAATAAAACTTTTATACATATTTGTCGTATAAGAAATTGGATTTTAGTAGGTAATTTAGAAAATTAAGCATTAAAATGATCATTCGAATTGATTTAAAAAAATCAACCTTTTATCCTTCGAAATATTGATCTATGTAAATACTCGTACAATAAACAACTTAGTACCTACCGCGAACAAAATACAAAAGAGTGGGTAAATGTGATTGAATCACAAGGCATTGTAAGCAATTCGGAACAATTGTTTCATTATTCTGTTCACTTCGTTTGTTACTTATGAATTTGACTTATCGTCGATAAAATATGATTAAAAACTCAAATTTCTGGAGTGTATAAACAGTAATGTTCTATATAAACATTGAAGGCTTCCCAATAACTATTGTTTACTAGCGAGATAGCCATGCTTCGCTCGCGTCTCTGGCACTTTTTGGCTAATGTTTGTCCTTCCAGGTCTATCTGTGTACGCGTTCAGTGTAAAGCGGTAACGAACATACAAATATTCACTTTTATAATTAGTGAGATTAAGGTTGCTTTATTCAATAAGAGCTTATAAAAGTAACGGTTAAATGACAATTAAATTGTATTAAGCCCTTTTTAACGTCCCACTGCTGGACACGGGCCTCTCGTCAAAACGGTGATGGGGGATCAGGCCATAGTCCACCACGCTGGCAGAGTACGGGTTGACGGACTGCACATGACTTACGAAAACTTGTAAGGTTCTCTCAGACATACATTTTTCCTCACGATGTTTTTCTTCACCGTAAGACAAGTGGTAATCAAAGTGCGAGACCCGAGATTTGAACCCACTTCAGTCGCTTTCCCAAACGAGCGCGTTACCACTGGGCTACCTCTATCTTACAATTAAATTATTTTGGTCGCATTTACGTTTCATAATCATTGAAGGTGCCTAAATATAAATAGGTCATTTAAAAAAATATTGCTATTACGTTAAAATTTAGGGAAAGACGTAATATGAGATAATATTTCATATATAAAAAGGTAGGTAATGAAGTCAATGCGGCAGAGGGGTACCGGGTATGCTAATATCCGCGATATTGACTCGAAACACGAACTATCGAATGTCTATGTTTAAGAGCAAGGCTGCAAATGAAGAGTTTTATTTTATCACACTTATCTAATGGATAATTTTCAATTAATTAATACAACATAAATAAATTAAAAATCACATTTGTATGAATATATTAGTTCAATTATTACATTTTCATTCAGTCAAGTTATAGTTTAGAATAATTTTAGCCTAAAGTGGTCTCGTTATTAAAAAAAAACACATAATAGCAAAAGTCTACCTGGAAAAAAATACCTCTATACAGTATAATGTAGCGAAAAAGAAGTTTAATGAACGGAATGAATGAACCTCAAGTGATTTAAGTATAAGTACAAGCTTACCTCGCTGCCATCTTGCTGCGCGTTGCATTTGCTAATATTCAATGTTCCCGAGATGAAGTCATTTTGTACATCTACGATGAGGAACGCGCTGACCGGACGAACGATCTACGACAAATTCATAATATTTATTATATATATAAAAATAAAAGATTGTATCTGTTTGTTATTTCTTAACGTCTTAATCAATCGCGACATTTTGCACAGACTTTTTGCTGTATCAGTGAAATATTAGTTGTAAGTATGTCTGACAATAGTTAAATGAATACTTTGAAAAAGTGACAGAAGACAAGGAAGGTGCTAACTCAGTTAGGCGGGTGACTAATGTAAACATTTACCTACTCGTGAACATATAGTATAAATAGCATAGCATAGCATAACAAAAATAAAAAGAACTTCCTCCTTTTTGAAGTCGGTTGAAGACAAATTTTTAATATCCTATTATGTACAAAAATGTATTTTCACTAAAAACCCTATAATTCTAAAGCATTATATAGACCAACACTTGGGCTATCAAGTTTAGCAATCCCCTAAAATTAGGAGCCCGAAATTCTTCGGAACACTCTTGAACCTACCCCCGTGGCAAAACGGGAACTGAACCAAAAACCACCCAAGGTACCAATTAGTTTTGTCAACGAACATGTGTCACAAAAAACTATTTTTCATGTCGATTAGAATCAATTTAACACACGTTAATGTTTTTTCACTAAATATTGAAGAATTTTACTTAAATGATTGGCAATATTTAAAAAAAAACCTCATCTGAACTTAATAGTAGTTAATACGTAAGTATACCCGTAACGTTTTCACGCCCAAACCGTTGAACCACTTGATGAATTTTGGTATAGAAATAGATGGGACCTTGGAGAAAGACCCAGGTTCCTTTTTGTCGCGAAAATAAAACTTGAAGGGGGTGAAATAGGGGTTGATAGTTTGTATGGGGAACTGCCTACCTAAAGTACGCACACGATAACATTTTTTTACATATATGTTTTATACCGTACCTACACGAGTGAAGCGAAGTCGCTAGTATTTTTAAAGCTATCATTAAAACTTACGACTTTGATCCAATGATTCCAGCAGAAGGTGAACTCCTCCTTATCGATGAAACCGTCATCATTTTTGTCGAACACCTGGAAGATGTGCCGTGCCCTTTCCTCTGATAACGGGTATATGTGGCCTTTGTCGTTGCGGAACAGAGCTTTGCAGATCAGACGAAATTCGTCCAGGTTTAGTTGACCGTCTCTATGGGCAATAAGAAAATAATGTGAGATTTCTACGTACATAATATTTATGTCTATATTTTCATTCAGTCGTTACTTATTGTAACCAACAAACGTTAAAAAAAATTATGTTGATTTTTTAAAAACCGCTCAACCGATTTCGATAAAATTTATATGGGACCACCTGGGAAGTATATCCTTTGCAACAAAAAAAAACCCAAATCGGTTCAGGCGTCTTTGAGTAATCGGTGAACATACATAAAAAAAAGATTCCGACGAATTGAGAACCTCCTCCTTTTTGGAATTGGAAGTCGATTAATAAAAGTAATAACGTAGTAAAATAAATGTTATCTTCAGAACAAATACGTGTTTTTAGTTTTTCTTTTGCTCTATCGTATCTAATAACGCGCCAAAAATTCTGACCGAGTCGAATTTTTTTGGAAAATCATAACGAAATAGTCATTATTATCGATACAGAGGCCCAATTTTTTAGAATTTATTGTATACGAGAAAACCACTGGACAGATTTTAATGAAACTTGGTATGATGATAGCTGGTTATCCGGGTCAATATTTAGGATACTTTTTACTGCGAGAAAATATCTCATCTCTGAGAAATCTATACTAACCGTTTAAACGTATCGCTTGTTTATATATATTTATGCTATTTACTCGTAATTATATGGGTTTTGAATCAGGCTTGTACTTGAATTTTCAATCTCTATTATTAGGTTCTATTTTTAGCTTTATTAGTTTTACTTGTAATATATTAAATGTAATCAAATCTTCAAAAACGATAATTACAAACATTTATTTTTCGTATTGTTTCGTAGTTTGTGTTTGATGTTTAATAATTTGATACCATATAGATGATCTAATACTAGAACCAGAACGGGGAACGTAGAACTTTTCAATGGCTAGTAGAAACTTTAAATTCGTGCTCATTCGATTTGTTTTAAGAGGTTCCATTCCATACATATACACTATAATTTTATTAGCAAATACGTAACAAAAATGCTCTTATGTAGTGGAACGATACGCGAATTGTTTCGCAATTAGCTTATTGTTTTACTGCAGCGAGATACCACGTGAGATGTAGACAGAGTATGGAGACATTGCATTGGCATATTTTCATTATGTTTAAACTATTCACATATGAAGGAGTGACCTTCATTAAAGCAGGTTTATATTTATTTCAAAGGAAGGGTTACGGTTATGAAGTGTTAACGGGTTGGCGTATTTTATATTTTATTTCGTTTTACTGGTTCGGTTCGGTTCTATCGCAAAATTAACTGTTATTATGCTAAACAGGTTTTATAGAAATTTAAAAAAAAATAGAAGATGAACATGATTTATCATAAACTCGTGATATAAAAGAAAATAGACAGTTATTTTGCGGTTTTTGGGTTTGACTTGACAATGACTGTTTGCATTATTTGCATTGTTTTTGTAAGAATATATATATATATATATATATATATATATATATATATATATATATATATAGTTTAATACTTTCTAAGATTTACGCGAATATTTGACATTTTAAATCAAACAATATAACACAAACATACATATTTTAAATATAGCTAGCTATCTTTTCGGTTTATTTCGCAGATTTATTTTCATTTTTGGTTTGGTCACGGGAGAGACTGAGGTTATAGACGTCTCAAACGTCGGGAACCAAAAATCAAAATAAATCCGCGAAATAATGCGAAAATATAGTTTTATTTAAAATATTTATTTTTGTTATGTTCTATTTACAAACACGCTTTTATTAGTATTTTTTGTTATTAATCAAATATTGGACGTCAATTTTCACCTCCTTTAAATACCACATCGCTTTAAAACTTCGTAAATATGTAAAATCCGGAAGACAATATCATAATTTCACACCATCGCCCAGTTGGATAATCGAGCCACGCATTTACTAGAACTCTTCAATAACTAAGTACGAATAAAACATTCAAATACCTATAAGCTCATATGATTTGTTTGATATATATTTTATGAAAAGCGTTTTTTTAGTTTTTCAAAACTAACTATTAATATATACCTACTATTATTTAGTGTCGTCATTGTAGCTATTCAAACGATGCAATTCTGAATTCGAAATTGTACATAAATTTATTATAGTACGGAAGTACGGTCGCGGATCACGATTTGGAATATAGGTGACCTGATCACCTATTTTGAATATTAATTTATTAAGAAGTCCCACCACTTTAATTTTTAAAAATTTGATTATTGAATATATTTAAAGATATATAGGTAATATTACTAGCAGAACCCGCGGCTTCGCTCGCGCTTAAACTGCAAAAACAAACTCTAAAAAGGTAGGTTTTATACAAACTTTCACGTATTTATTTAATTGTATTGAGAAACATTAATTTTTTTCAAGTAATTCTGATTTTAAATGTTTTTTTGGGTTGTTTAAACGTGTTTTCCTATAGTAATAAGATAATCTCCTGTAGTAAAAAGTAGCCTATGTCACTCTCCAACCTGCTAACTATCTCCACACAAAAAATCACGCCAATCCATCACTCTGTTTCGACGTGAAAGAAGGGCAAACAAACACACTTTCACATTTATAATATTAAGTATGGATAACAAAATTGTGTATTTGTATAACCTATCCGGACACATAAACAAACCAAAGAGATAATATTCCCTCCACGACCGCGGACACGCCGGCGTGTCAGTTAACAATAGATTTCTTAGAATTTTAATTAATTTCTTAGAAATTTATCTGGAGGTTATCGATATTTTATTTTCATTTTTTCATAGGTATTCGAGTTATTAAAATTCAACACTGTCACCTGTCATTGTTGTCATGTCAAGTTAAAGGTTTAGATCATAGATAAAAATTAAACTTAGAATGGGAAGTTTTATTGAAAGAAGTGTACGTACCTATGATCTATTTACAGTTAGTTTAAGGTTACGCAATTTATTATGATATCTCTTTTGTACTTCGTTTTTTTGCTTCTATTATGTTCGTATCACACCTGTGCAATGTGTAATACCTGGAAGCTAAAGACCAAGACCAGCTGAAGGAAAAATTGAGAAGGAGAGGTGCATGCATCCTGTGGTGGTCCTGATTTATTGATGGATCAACACACTGTCTAAACCGCTAGTCCTAGAAACGTGAAATTTGGAGGACATATTCCAATGACGTACCTAGGCCTCCAATAAGAAAGGTTTTTTCAAAATTCATCCCCTACGTTATAGACCATTCGGAATCCGTTTATTTTAATTAAAAAAAATATTGAAAACCTGAAGTTTCATGATTTTAAAATGTTAGTAGGTATATCTATACATATACATATATATATATTTGACGACACGTTTGGCTCAGTTTGTAGTGACCCTACTTGCAGTGCCAGCGGTCGCGGGTTCGAGTCCCGCTGGGGGCATTCATTTGTGTGATGAGCACGAATGATTGTACTCCAGTCATGGGTGTTTATATTTATAATATGTATGTATTTAAAAGATATATTTATGTAGTGTATCAACTATCTGGTATCCATAACACAAGCCTCGTAGCTTACCATGGAACTAGATGGCGCTGTGTGTTAATGTCCCCAACATATTTATATAATAAAATTCTAACTTAGTCGAATCTGTACATTTAATATTTTTTTGAAAATCTTATTGCAATAGACATTATTATCAATACAGAGGCCGAATCTATAGTTTTTAGAATTTTTGTCTGTATGTGTATAAAATATTCATTCTTTAATATTATATTAAATTATAACTCTTTTTAGCAATCTCATTTAAATATTAGTGTAAAACTAATAGGTTTCCAAACCAGTTACATTTAAATAGTTATTGTATAAGTCTTAGATTATAATTACAATAATAAACACTTGCTTGAGGTTTCTTACATAATTATAAACACAAACTTTTTTTATTTTTTTTATAACTTAAAAAAACTCTGCTTCTGAGTATTAAAAAAAAATGATCATCTAAATATACACAAAAACTATTTCAATGATAAATATGGACAATAATATTATTTACTTATGCACCCTTACTACTAATTATTTTATATTATATATATACTTCTTTATATATATATAATTCTTCTGTGAGTGTGTATGTCACTGAACTTCTCTCAAATGACTGGACCGATTTTGATGAATTTTTTTGCGTGTGTTCAAGGGGATCTGGGAATGGTTTAGATTCACAATTTGAATAATAATTTTCATCAAAAAAATTATTAAAAAAAGTTTGAAATTTTCAAATTAAAGATGTGTAGACAGGACAACGTCTGTCGGGTCCGCTAGTATATATATATATGTAATCAAAGTAAAAAAGTAAGTAGGCAATAAAAGTTAAAATCAAAAAAGTTATCACAATTTAATTCAAGAAAATGTAATAATTTAAGTATCAATTTCAACAGTGCTTTAAATGAAGTAAATATTAGTTTTGATATTCATATTCATGCTTAAGTGCAAAACTTTAATTGTAATTTTTTTATGAGTTCAAAACAAATTAAGATGGAATGGTTAGTTAAAAACAAAAATATGTTTTATTTTTATTTCGTTTTTGAAAACTTTGCTTTATTTATATTTCCTTTTCGTAAGAAATTTATGAATGTTGCAATTTGAGTAAGCGCATTCACATACCCATCTTTGTCAAAGGTTTCATAGCAGGCGTCCATATCGAACAAGCAAGTTTCGTCGTCTAAATAGTCGTTAGCAACCTCCGACATCGTTGGTTGAATCGAACTGGGCCCGTAGCTGAAGCTACAGTCTCTTATAAGGTACTCCAACATTGTTGCGCGAGCACTTAACCAAAAAAGTATTTTTTAATAATATTGCCAAAACCCACCTATATGTTTACTAAAAAAGTAGTCGTGATTTTTAACTTAATTCTCACCTTACAAAATTTATGTATTTTTCAATAAAGACGAGAGTTTTCATTTATAAAATTGTGTAATTCATGAATCACAAACACTAAATACACCGGTGGAACTATATCGATACGATAAATCTCGATGTATTTTTTCATTTTTGTCTTGACAGATTGAAATATCGATTGCTAAAATTTAAAAGTGGCGCTTGTAATTAATAGTATTTATTTGTAATGAATTACAAGAGAATTTCGAAATGTTATATGTTATATATTTTTACTTTTAAATTTTTTTCAACTGCAATGAATTTTGAAAAAAACAAGGTTATCGATATTTTATTTTCATTTTTTCATAGGTATTCGAGTTATTAAAATTCAACACTGTCACCTGTCATTGTTGTCATGTCAAGTTAAAGGTTTAGATCATAGATAAAAATTAAACTTAGAATGGGAAGTTTTATTGAAAGAAGTGTACGTACCTATGATCTATTTACAGTTAGTTTAAGGTTACGCAATTTATTATGATATCTCTTTTGTACTTCGTTTTTTTGCTTCTATTATGTTCGTATCACACCTGTGCAATGTGTAATACCTGGAAGCTAAAGACCAAGACCAGCTGAAGGAAAAATTGAGAAGGAGAGGTGCATGCATCCTGTGGTGGTCCTGATTTATTGATGGATCAACACACTGTCTAAACCGCTAGTCCTAGAAACGTGAAATTTGGAGGACATATTCCAATGACGTACCTAGGCCTCCAATAAGAAAGGTTTTTTCAAAATTCATCCCCTACGTTATAGACCATTCGGAATCCGTTTATTTTAATTAAAAAAAATATTGAAAACCTGAAGTTTCATGATTTTAAAATGTTAGTAGGTATATCTATACATATACATATATATATATTTGACGACACGTTTGGCTCAGTTTGTAGTGACCCTACTTGCAGTGCCAGCGGTCGCGGGTTCGAGTCCCGCTGGGGGCATTCATTTGTGTGATGAGCACGAATGATTGTACTCCAGTCATGGGTGTTTATATTTATAATATGTATGTATTTAAAAGATATATTTATGTAGTGTATCAACTATCTGGTATCCATAACACAAGCCTCGTAGCTTACCATGGAACTAGATGGCGCTGTGTGTTAATGTCCCCAACATATTTATATAATAAAATTCTAACTTAGTCGAATCTGTACATTTAATATTTTTTTGAAAATCTTATTGCAATAGACATTATTATCAATACAGAGGCCGAATCTATAGTTTTTAGAATTTTTGTCTGTCTGTCTGTCTGTTTGTTACCGCATCACAGAAAAACTACTGAAGGGATTTTGATGAAATTTGGTATGGTCATAACTGGTTATCCGGGTCAACATATGGGATCCTTTTTACCGCGGGATAATATTTCATTTCTGAGAAAAAATACAAAAACTGCAATGTAAGAGTATACTATTATGTAAAACCTAAGAATTTGGTTTTTGGTCATCTGAACGCGGGAGGAGCCGCGGGCAATGCTAGTATTTTTATATAAAGTTTGGCATAGCATTTGGTATTTTATATTCTTATACGTTAAAAATTATATCACAAAGCACCTACGTACTGATTAAAGAAAATATTATAATCTTTAAATTATTTTAAATATATATTTGATAATAAAATTGATTTTCGTAATATTACATCATTATTACTCATCTATGGCAATAAATTTAATTTTTTATCTGTAGCCCGCAGTCGGCAGATTAAATAAAACTACGCTATTTTAACGTCTTACGTCAAACGTCAAGGATAAAATATAACCGCGTTTGTCGAAGAAAAGCGGCGTTGATAAAAAATACTGTATTTATTATAATTACAACATTTACATAAATAAATATGTTGTAAATCTCTTACATTTAAGCATTTCAATTAATTTCTATATTTCTTTAATTATTATACAACTCATTTTTAAATTTTGGCCGCGTTTTTGTGATTGCCGCTAGTGTGGGTAAAATGGTGATAGAAAAAGTGCACGGTTTGCAAGCTACCAGTTTGTCACTAAATGATCGATTTACTTTACTTGCGTCAACGGTACCTATGACTCGCGTAACAAGACCTCGAAGGCGTTCTTCAGGATTTTTTTCACAAGGACAAAACATAAATAATCGAGCTCTGATAGATCAAATTGCTCAACATTTTGGTCAGCATGCTAGGAAGGTAAATGATAAGAGATTTGTCTTAAACTTTCTCAAAATTGATAACATTTTGTGTTTTTAATACGGATTTTGAGACAATAATTTGAAGGCATTTTTGTACTCAAGTTTGTTATGTTAAATATTACATATGTACTTATGCCATGCATAATATTTATCTGGATTTTTTTTAATATATGAAATATGACAATTTTTATAGCAAGCAGTCAGACAGCGTCTTGGTATACCAGGATTGAGGCGCTTTGGCAGTGAAGGAAGCTTGGCAGGACTTAGACGTTCCAATAGTTTTAGCAATTTAAGTCAAAGCAATGTTAAAAAAAGAACTTCTTGGAGACAATCTAATGGAAATCTTAGGTAAAGGGAATTTATTTATGAGTACCACAGTCTTATAAAGAAAAATCCCAAGTCTTGAGATCTGGTATAAGGAACTCAGCGGGACTAAAATTATTATTATTAATAACATTTTTATTTCAATATAATTGTATAAGTTATATTAAACTATCTAACATTGTTATAGGTTTGATAGTTAAAACTCAGATTGCCTAGCACATTCATGCTATAAGTTAAGTTTATATATTTTTGGCAATATGCCAAATAACTAAATGAATTAATAGAATTATTAACATAACATTTTCTTTGTGATTATATATTGTGTATTGGGATATTTTTCTTCATGTCTTTGATATTATTAGATTTATTTTCACTTACTTTAACTATTTTTAGGTTAGGTAATTTTGCAAAATAAAAATCATTTTTATAATCATGAGACAGTCTGTAAGAGCCATGTTTGGCCATTTAGTAATTATTTTATATTACTAATAATTAAAATATCAATATCCTGTTTATACTTTACTGATTTCTTGAATAATAATAAAAAGTTATAGCTTTTATTTTTGTTTTAATCAGTCGTTCAGCGTCATTCAACAATGTGTCACAAGGTGTGTGGCGAGGACGCGGCTTCAGACGCCGGGGAGGGCGTATGGGGCTGGTGAGAGGAAGGATGAGGTAATTTTAGAACTCAATAGGCATGACAAATTACATTATTGTCTCTTAATTTTTCCTTTTTCTTGCTATCTTCTGGACAAAATTTCGTGTGTTTAGAGCTGCCTAAGCTGTGGTTGTGTCAATGAGTTGGTGAATGAATTGTGAGTTTTTGTTGAGTAGATATATGTATTAAAGTATTGGTACACCACTGCTAAGTGGTAACGCGCTCGCTTGGGAAACCATGTGAAGTAGGTTCAAGTTACGTTTCAAATCACTAATATTTTCATATGCGAATCGTTTCCAACATGATTACCACTTGTTTTATGATGAAGGAAAAGAAAAACATTATGAATATCTGAGAGAACCTCGCAAGTTTTGAAAAGAAATGTGAAGTCCGCCAACCCGCACTTGACCAGTGTGGTGGATTATAGCTTGATACTTCTCGTACTGAGAGGTTGAATAATGGCTGAATACATGCATAGATATATTTATATGGTGTTATCCATATTCTACAAACATCATCTTTAGTGGTTACTAATCTTGTGGGTGTTATCAGGGCTCGAATAATATTGACTTCTCAATGCTCCATTACAATTTAATGATGAAAATCACAATGTTATAAGGTTGAAATAGAAATTCTAATAATTTTGTGGAGCAGTGGATTCTAAGACACCGATCAGGCTTTCACATTTAATATCAAAGCATAACCCTATGATCCACCATGATCAACCAACGTTACTAATCCACGTATTTTCAATGAATGTCATGATGGCGTGTCGATCCCGCTAGAGACGTGAGATTACGTCTGCTCTAAATTTAAAATCACTTTAATACCTCGTCTGTCGATCGACCTTTTAAAGGTCGATGTCAAAAACACCCCTGTCTGTCAAGCGACCTTTTAAAGGTCGATTGGTCCCGATGTCATTTAATGTGTGATTTCTCGCATTTAAACTATATTTATTTTATTTAACTTTTGTAACGTGTAAAGAAAAATACAAGCAATAATATCATACTACATGTCAAAAAAGTAATAACTCCAATAACATAAATTATTGTAATTTGTGCAGACAATTTTTTTAAATTTTGGCGATCTTTGAACTCAATACTTGTGAGTAAAAAATTAACAAAATAGTGTAAAATTATTAGTATAAGGATTGGAATATGATGGAAGGGTAAGTAATTAACAGTTTTTATTTCATAGGATGTGTATTGAATAGAGATTTTATACAGAAATTGTTATATTTGTCAAACATCGTAAGCATTCACGCGCGCTTAGTCCTTATATTTTCACTTTTTCTGAATAAAAAATACACTAGTGATAGCATAATATTTTTATTAACATGATTTAAATTTATAACTAAATAACTACGTATAATTGAATTTGTAAATTTTCTATTAGATTTTAAGTAATTAATAATATAATAACACGTAACCCAAATTCGAGCCGCCATTTTTGACGGCTGTTGGATAGTATGGGGAAGGCTTTTTTAATATTCATTAGAATATTTTCATTGATGTTTTTTAGGATTATTTGAAATTCAATATTTTATAAATATTTTAACTGTTTTTCTAAAAAAAAATTGATTTTTTTAAAACAGTACGATTTTTATTTTACAGATATACGTTCAACTTACACATTACTTTAAAACATTATAAAAATAAAAAAACCTAACTGCATAACAGCTAACTAAAACGATAAAAACAAGTTGACGAAGGAATGAAGTATTATGCAGTTGGTGACATACACATGTACATCTCGCGACAAGGATGAAATGTATTTTTTTATTTACAGCCTTTTAATTTTATTAGAAATTTGAAGTTATAATAGGTCTTTTGAAATTGCCGTTCTACAATTCTTACTGGCCATTGGAAACGTAATTTATGATTGGCCGGCAATAAATTCTAAATTCAAATGAATTTTATTTTAAAAGTATGGAGTTCTATTTTTGAATTCAGTCGTTTGTTTATTAATTAGTGTTTTGTTTTCACTACATTTGTTTGTTTTTCATCAATATAAACACAATAAAAATACGAGTAATTATGAAATACGAGTTCGATCGCGGTAGCAATCCCGCACAAACGGCTCGCAACATTAATGACGCGTACGGAGTACCGAGTGAACACTACAAACGAACGCACAACTCGTTATTGGTCTGAAGACTTCCAACATCGAAATTTTGACCTTAAAAAATTAACCCCGTGGTCGCCCGAAAACTAAAATCAGTAACGACGCATTAAAGGCGATAGTGGAAGCTGACGATACTCAATCTGTGGCTGAGATAGCAGCAGCTTTCAACGTTAGCATCAAAACAAAATTGGTCCATTTGCATCAAATTGCATCAATAGCATGGGTGCATAAAAATATTTATAAAAATACAATACTTTAACTTTCTGTATATTAAACGACAATTTCATAGGTAAAGACTTAATATTTAGCAATTTCTTATCCCAAATTACCTTTAAACATGTAAGTTGTGTTCTCTTAATTTTTTTTGTGATCACCAAAAATCTTTATTTTAAGAGCCCATTCGATTGATTTGGAAAATTTTTTTACAGACCAATTGGCGCCTGATATCCGCCATTTTACTTTTTAACTATTTTTAATTTTTAACTATAACGCGAGTATTATAGGCTATATATAGCTTATGACACTCGCGTAAATACGAAACTAACGACATATAAATCATAGAAATTGGCCCACGCGTTTGGTCTCTAGAGTGTCATACATACATATGTACATACATACATACATAGACTGATAAACACATTACCCTCCTTTGCGTCGCGCAGTCGGGTAAAAAATAAGTTTATTTGCATCTCTTAAACTAGTATCATGTTGCATTTTATGTTTATTGAAGCTGCACCAAAATTGCTTAAAACATGCCTTATTAGATTACAATATTATGATCGGAGGGTGAACAAGAAAGACCAATTGTAGGCAATGTACCCTATAGAGCGAAAGCGAACAAGGGTGTAGTATAAATAACTGTTTATTAAAAAAAAACCGACTTCCAGGCACTAAAATGTAAAAAATAGCTTAACGGAGGTTTTCATTTAGAATAGATACCTAATCAGATATTTTCGAAGTCGGTGCCAGCCGGCAATATTTTAAGATATAAATATCTAATACGTAAATATGAATTTTATGTATCGAAATATATTAGATTTACTTTGCATCGGCTGGAACTGACTTCGAAAATATCTGATTTATATATTATACCACGCCTTTGTTCGTTTCGACGACGTGACTGAACATCGAAGACGTGGTGAACATTATATGGGAGGAGGTTAGTATAGTTACTTATGTATCTTTACTTAGTAATAATTAGTATTTGTTGCTTTTAGGATAGGTGTTCATCTTTTTTTTTTTCATTTAAAATAAATATGTATAAAAGCCTCTACCTGCAAGCAATATTCATTAAAAAGTGTCCTTTACCTAACAAAAGGCATCCAAAATTTTCTACTTCAGATTTAAAACATCTGTGAGTACTAATTACAAAGTTTTTATACTCTACTATATTTTTTTTACTACTATAACTATGGAGTCCATCAAATACTCAATACAGTAACTGGCACAATACTTCAATCTTATAAAATATAAATGAAAAATTTAAAAGTAACCCCGACATGTAATTCACCATTTTGTGGTGGTGACCATCTTGGATTCGAAAATTATACTAGTCAAGCCTAATTCATTTGATACCCATATTGAGGGAGTTGTGAAAAAATATGTAATCCGCTATTTTGTGGCGGCAGCCATCTTGGACCGATTTTCATCAAACATAGCTAAGAACACTTCCGAATTATTCACCTTTCAGAGAAAAAACAAAAACAAAATCGGATGATCTCTTCGAGAGCTACCATACCACAGACAGACACACACACAACACACAGCACGTCAAACAAATAACTCCCCGTAGTTTTTGCGTCGGAGGTTAAAAACAGTAGAAAAAAATAATTCCTCTCCGAATTAATATTTAAAGTTGTTTTATTTTGAATTGATGTTTTATTATCATTTTATTTCCATAACATAATCTGTTCAGATGTGATGGAATTGGTCGTATCCATACTTTTTTAGCTGTCCCTTGTAATTCTTATAGTAAAATTGTTAGTTTACAGAATTGATTTCTGAAATATTCTAATACGGCAACATGTCTTTTTATTATATTTTTCATTTTGAAATATCACTTAATTGTAAGGTGTAAATATATTTTAAAGAAAATTTAAACAGAATTTGCTCTGCGATCCAAAGTTTGAGATGACATTTTTTAGCACTTATTTTCTAGTGTTTGGTTTATTGTTCAATTCTCGTAAATTAAATAGTTATAAGAACTCAAACTTTGTCAGTATAACGTACGTGGACTAAACTATAATATAAATGACTATCCTAAATCTCTTGATCTTCAATGCTCTTAGAATTCAAGTATAAAAAACACCTCTTTTTTTATCCGGCGCTAAGTCGCCATAATTGAAACATGTTATTGTTAAGCTTGTGGTGTAAAAAAAATGTACAGTGAGTTGTGTTGTTCTAATCAATTAATATAAAATATTGTATCTATAATTAAATGACATTAAAAGTTTTTAAAATAATAGTTTTATTTTATAATAATTCCTGTTTTAATACTATATACTGATAAAAAATCACTTACAGTAATTTCAACTTAGAATTAACTATATAATATTAAATACAATTGATGTTATTTATATATATATTCTTAGTTTATTTTAAAACGATTCTAACGATATAAGCTTTATATATAGCTTATATATAAAATTTTAATAAATATTGTTATTTTAATGATGCGTACATATTTCGCGCAGGCCCTCGAAAAGTAGCCGACAGATGCGCCATATTTTTGTAAAATGACAGCGACAGTTGAGGGGTTAAAAGCAATAAAAACTAATCTAAATATTATCTATCTAACATAGTGACTTTAAACAATAATAAGGTTTTATAGCAGAAAAAGGTAACTAAATCCTCCTCCGTCATGTATTATATTTCATCTACAGAGGGCGCAATGTGGGCGGTCGTCAACAAATAGTAGGTAGACTGAGAGGACAGCAACGTGGCAAAAGACGCATCATGGGCCAGGGACAAGCAGTCAGGGGGCCGAGGGGCAGAGGGGGAATGAGGGGCAGGGGACGAGGGAGGGGTGAGTTCAAACATATAAGTATTATAATATTCAATGGGCAATTCTTGTATACAGGGTGGTCCAAGACGTCATAATTTTTTTATTAGATTCCTCACATCTCACAATCACACACATCTCACCTCACATCCGAAAATACACATGTATGTGCCGCGATTTTTCGTAGTTTAATAGTAAAAATGTTTTGGTTTCTTTTTCTGCAACATGATCGTCTTGAATCACTTTTTCATATGTTATAATCAACTACACAACATTCTTCATTATTAGTTATCAAAAATAGGTCTTAAGTGAAAATTTTAGGTGTGAGTTGGGTGAAGTTAAATTTTCTAAATTCTCTTAACAATACAAAATGGAACTTTCATAGATTCAGAGTACTTTTAAAAACTTCAGCAACTTATCAGCTTACCAAATAATAAAAAAAAGATGTCAATAGTTGCACTGGTTTTATCGAGATATTGCTTTAGAGATTGAAAATGAAGTAACTTACCTCTGTGAATATCTTCTGCAAAAATAATTAATTTTTCATCGAAACAAACCAATTCTTTTACCAAAACATAGGCTGGGTTTTCCTTTTCTTGCAGTTTTAGATTCAGCTCATTTAATTTCGCTGTGATATCGACCATGAGAGGAGGCTTTGAAGGCCGATTTTAGCCAAAGTAACCATTAAGTACTATTTTGTTAATGATTGTAAAATCTGAGAGTCTGGCGCATTCTTAAGTCTACTTAGGAGCCATGAAGTCACCTGTTTAGATTTTTTTATTTAAATTTGAAAATTTAAGTCATAATTGAGTATTGAGTGAGAGAATTACGAATCTGATTATTTTATTCATAAAAGTACTACTTATGAAGATTCAACTGCAAAAAACAAATCACGACAAGGTTTTTTTTATTTAGAATTTTTTTAAGTTGGTCAGGTCGAAAATTCTCAAAAATTCTGAAAAAAACTCATAACTCATAAACTACGAATGTCGCGTAACATACATGGGGGTGATTCGGATACTCTATGATACGAGGGACCTAAATTTTTTTTTTGGATATCAAGGTTCTGACCATCCTGTATATGTCATGTACATTTTTTTGGTGTCCAATAAAGAATATTTGATTTGATTCTAAATGCCTTGCAGTAATTGAAATAAAAATGTTTTCTAGCGCATTTTTCTAGTGTATTGTGTAAATTATTTATTATTGTATTAATCAAAATTATTAGCAGAAAGTGCGACTTCATGAGTTGACATACCTCTATGAATTTATTATGTAACTAAAAAAATTCAATAAATTTACAGGTGGCATCACAAGACAGCAAAAGAATGTTCCAACCAAAGAAGAACTAGATTTGCAATTAGATCAGTACATGGCAAGTACCAAGACAGCCCTAGATAAGGAGTTGGACAGCTACATGAAGAATGCAATGGATATGGAGTAACAACGGATGTTATATATAAGACTAAAGAGTGATTGTTTAAGTTTTGTGTAAAACAATTAGTGATTATGAAGTGATTTTTTTTATGTTTCTCGTTCATTAACATGGATTTCTCATGACTTACGAAGTGGTAAGATGCTTTTTTTTGTAAATTACATAGTAAGAGTTGTTTTGCACCTTTGCTACTATTTTTATCACTAACAGAAAAGTTTTTATATATTTCATTTGTTGTATACAGTATATGTTGCCATTACAATTAACTTCCTTCAAAGGAAACATTTTATCGGTTATGGACACAAAGTTTATAATAATTTCTTATGGGTTTTTTTATGATTGAAAAGCTTTTAAGTAGTGTATCGTTGCCAGTTAATTTGAGTAACTAATATAAAAAAATATTTAATACTGACAAATCTTCATGTCATCTCCGTCCTACATGACATTGGCGAAGTAATCTGTGCTGAACTGGCACGCTTTGAAGCCATTAGCAAGAGAATTGAATTAAATATTAAAAGGTTGCTCACATTGACGGACATAAAAGTTAATGCATGGCAGCTTATTATATGATTAGTATGACAGTTCTATTTTTTATATGTGATGACAAAATTATAGATATAAGTAATTTTTTGTTGTAAAAAATAAAACTAACATAAATAATATAAAGAATAGTAAATATATTTATATAGCCTATTTTCTCTTCAATTAGTTAAAAACAAGTGTTTATAAAAAGTGACTGGTATTTTTAAATCATAAGGAACTAGCGACTCAACTTCACTTCACTCGGGTTTGTCCCAAGTGAAAGACAAAAACCAATCTATCATACATTTTTCCGAGACAAAAAGTAGCCTATTTTCTTAGTTTTTCTCGTGATGCGATCACAGACAGACAATAATTCTAAAAACTAGATTCGGCCTCTATCAATAATAAAGACTATTTCAGTAAGATTTTCCAAAAAATATTTAATGTACAGATTGGACTCTGGTAGAATTGTATTATATGTATGGATATAATAAAGGGCCCTTTTCAAACTTTTATTCTATTCCAAATAGTTTTGGGACCTCGTCATCCATGAGGACTTTAATAACTTCTTTATGTGTATTCAGCCCTTCTCCACGTCTAACTAGCTGGGCACGGGCCTCCCTTCAGTACGAGGGGGATCAGGCCATTGTCTTATATAAACATAATGAGATTGTTAACAGATATTTTATTGATGATTGCAATTGCTAACAAATGTATAGAAATGACATATCTGACATTTAAGATGAAAATTGTTTATCCAATGTGTCTTTTTCATTATTCTAAGTGGCATTGGCGAAGTATTGAATTGAATTATCGATCAAAAAAGTAGTAGATACACAATCAGCGATAAAAAATGCCCTCACCGAATGAGCGCTCATTTGAGCATTTGAGCGCGCTTTTAATATATTTTTTGTGAAAACAACTTAAGCATTGCATTTATAGCTTAATTTAAGTTTCAAAAGAATTTTTGAATGGAATTGTGTATCTAACACTTTTTTGATTGATGAATTGAATTGAAAATTGTTTCATGATAATAACCTAACATTTGATAACATTACATAGTAGTTTGAAACCTGTTTTTCGGAAAAGTTTTTTTTCTAAACTAACACAAGTCATGCTCAGATTACCTAAAAAAAGGTTTTTTTACGCTCTGTCCGCACTGCGATATTTCACCGCACGTTTTTTTTTCTCGCAATTGTGTAACACATCGAATCTTGTAGGAGTAGCTGCACTGGCGGTTAAAAATTCATGCGGGAAAAAATCTGTGATTTGATGCAAATTGAACGCGATGCGGTGTGGATTTTTCAAGGCTGTAAATGGGTGAATCCAATGTTCATCACATCTTTTAATAGATCTGTCACGCCGCCACCGCCGCCGTAGTAGGTATCAGGTAAATATTTTTTTTTCAGTTATTCATTTTAGACGTTCGTCTCAGCCGGGAACTGCTTCGAATTGACAAAAATCGTACGAAATTTTATTTACAGTGCGGTATAAGTGTAATTCCGATCACGGCATATAAAACGCGAGAATAAAAATCGCACTGTGAAATATCGCAGTGCGGACTGGGCCTTACTCTGTGAATGTAACTTGAGGTTTCACATGTTTTGGATTTATAAGGTTTTTATAATTTATAATGAATCCAAATTATAATTTTTTTTCTATCTTCAGCTTGGATATGTTTTGTTAGACATTGTCTCCTGATTTGCTTTATGTATAAAAGAAATATTATTAATAACATTTAATACTTTTTTAAAGAAAATTTTATATAATATATAGGTGTTTAATGGAAATAAAAAAAATACAGATCCCTTTTAATCTATATAAACACTTAGTTTTATTGTTTGTCCTTCTTTCACATCAAACAGAATGACAGATTCGCTTGACTTTTTGTGTACAGATAGTGGGAGGGCTGGAGAGTGACATATTAGGCTACTTTTTACCGCGGGAGATTATTTTATTCCCTTGGGAAAACGTTATAATACAACCCACAACAAGTCATCATACCTATGTCATATATAGTCTATTCCATACTAACCCTTTAAAAATTAAATTTATTCTATATAATAAATAAATATTTTATGTTTTGAATTTAATGATGGAAAATATTTTTGACCGACTTAATAAAGGAAACTCACTCAAAATATTTTTTTCAGTGATGTTTTGCAATTTTTGTTTAATATGTTAAGTGGTGTCATCATCAGTTGTAAATCGATTTTCAAGCGTTTTTTTTTATAATGTATAGATTATAATACTTCCTTGGTTTCAATCATAATAAAAATTTCACCTTTATGATGTAAATTAAACTGTCCTAATACTCATTTAACTTTTGTCTAATATTATTTGTGTATAATTAGATTTTTGCATAGCTTGGTAATATCTCATCAACATAACTACGTTCAGAAATATATTATAATACGTTTTAAAGGCTATATATAATTAAATCTCATAACTTTATAAATTTTCAAAAAAAATGCGGAAATAATCTGTTTAGGCTCTATACCAATATAATTAATTTGTTGTTTAAAAATTTGTGGCTGATTTTTTAATTTAGATTTAAATTGACTAAGTTCCATTATTTCACTTTTATTTGTGTTATGTTAATAATACATTTGATGTTAAATCTGATTGAAAAATTAACACACAAAAACTAGTTAGTAATTTTTTTTTGTCGAACATCCATATGTCTCGAGTTATTGTTTAATTTGATTAATGTAAATAATTAGTGGTAATAAACACTGTTGTTTATAATAAAGCTTTTTTGTATAGTTATGTATTTTATTTTCTAACAGTTCACATGAGATTTTGGTCCAATAATTTTTGTGTAAAATTGTTGTGATGTACAGACATAATGAATTCTTTATAATTTTTGCAGGCTCGCTGGATTTTTCTCTACAGAACCCTAAAAATAGGGATGGTTTTGTATATAACTATAGATAGTGCCTATTGTCACTGATTCAACAGATTTGCAACTTATAAACTAAATAAACTAAATATTTTATAGAAGACGATTATCCGAATTTATGAAACTGTTTTATTTTAGAAAATTCTGTGCATTAAAATGTGTACAATACACATAGCAAAGTGCAAAACAAGTTTCGGTAGTAAACCAAAAATATTTATTTTGGTATGTACCTACAAATTATAATACAAGCAATGCCATCACCGTTAGGTAAGTTTGTACTCATAACAAACTTACCTAACGGTGATCTTTTTTATATCAGTTGAATTTTAAAATTATTGACATTTGATTTATGAATTCATTTCCTGTTCTAATTTTTTTAACGTAACAATTTTTAAAATTCTATTTTCTTTTCTAAACAACATTAATAACAAGTCACATGACAGACCTAAAGGCGAGGTTTTGGTAGACATGGTTTGGCAGCATTTAATCTATTTTCCTTTTTACCATAATACTTATATTTTTCCTTTTTACCATAATACTTATATATTTGTAATGAAGCTATTGGAGTGACGTGTCCTGAAAGGATAGAAGTCCCATAAATAAAAATAGAGTTAAAAATAAATAAACCTGACACTAAACTATAAAATATACACTACAATATAAAACATTTAATTATTACTTTATTACAAGTCAAAACACTAGGTTTTGTTAAGGTTCAATTAAAGGTTTTATCCCGTATTTTGTTCTAGTTTTTTGTAATTCTAATTTGTTTCTCTTTCTACTGCGATGTGGGTGAGATTTGGTTTCAATGTAATCTGTGACTAGTGATTTAAAAAAATATAATAATTATACATACCTACCCATTGCTCAAACTTGAAATTTATTTAAAATACCTACATTTTAATAAGTATTTAAAGGTTTTTTTACCTATTTGCATTTTAATTTGTGTTTTATTTTTAAGTTGTGAGCTAGATGAGATTTTCCATCTGTAATATTAATTTAACAACCATTTCCATATTTCTCTTTTCTTTCCATTCAATATTGACGAACTTCTATATAAATTATATTAACTACTATTATAATGCATTATATTATATAGATATGTATTTGTGTATGTAGTAGTATGTACATATGTTATGGTATATAATATGTATAATGTTTATTATATGTACATATATATAATATATATTTATTAAAGTATTTATATTTGAGTAACTGCACTTTAGCCTGCTTTCTAATACTATCTCTCTAACTCACTTAGGTTGACTGAATAAAGAATAGTATATAAATCACGGTCTTTTCGGGGATGAATTTCCAAAAAAATATTTAGCGTTCATAAAATAATAAACTGTTGAGTAAATTTCACACTTATATAGACCCAGCGGTTCAGGCGTCGAATACCAGTGAGTGTGATACCAGTAAGTGAATGAATCAATCATAACAAAAAAAACCCGTCCCTCTTATAATGTTTACAAAAATGTGAAATAATTTCTGATGCTCACATATTATTATTTTTAATATTTAGATTGTGTAAAAGATAAAATATGGCATTCAAAAATGCTATACAGGGGCGCTATCTTTT